AACATACATGCAAGAAAATCAAACAATTTGTATGAAATGGTGACGCTTTGCAACTTTACCAAAAAAAACTCAAACACAAATAACTCGGATAAAGTCAGCCCTCTAATTATACGAAGAATAAAGGAAAATAAAGAAAGCAGTACTGAAAAGCAGAGGGAAATTGATGAGACATAGGTGGCTTTGCTAATCACCATGAAACTGAACCGCAAAGAATCTTTCCACACCACATCCAATTTTCCGTATCTGGAGAGAGGATATGGCCTTCCCTAGGATAACCTATCTCTAATGGACCATGCATCGACTTCCATTCACAGTCCTAGCAAATGTATGCGACTCCCTGTATACAATGCATTGGAAGCCTAGACGTTAAAAATCATTATTTTCCTGCTCTCAGACAAGTCTTGCACCAAATAAAACACCAGGAGGAGTGGGATGCGTTACAAAGACCGGAAATTAGAGGTGTGGCCCAACAAGTGGTATGGGCATTTATCAACAGAAGACACGTAGCTAGAAAAGATGAATGAGAACTCATAGAAAGTACAATGAGACTATGACTCATATGTTAGTTAAGTATACAAGAGTGCTACGAAAAACTCACCAGCTTTTGGTCCTGGGATGTGTACGCGAAGTTTTTCCGGCGAATCAGCCTCCATTTCGTAAGTTTCATCTTTTGCATGCTTCAGAATCGCTAACTGTAACACCAGTTTCATGAAAGCTTCTCGAATCAGCGTGTTTCACCAACATGAAATCCCCTCAGACTTTGGACAACCGAGCAGAAAATCAAACAAGCTTACTTGGTCGCCAACTGCTGTCACGCCCAAATCAGCCAATGTAGCCTTGTCGAGGTCGGGGAGCATATCCTTCGAAACCCTTAATAGAAAAGTTAACAACTGCATCACTGAAAGGAACAGCGTAACATTAAACCAACATTACCTATTTTGTCTGAAGATTTCTGCATAGCGAGACGCGATACTGGTCGGGATTCCAATCCTGACGAAGAAACTTTGCCAGTCCCACATGACTCCTGCTGCCTTAGAAAGACCATTATAAAGACACTTCAACCACGAGTGCATGTTTGAGCTGTATTGCCAAGTAAGCTTTCAAATAGTCGATTACGGTAATCCTTTCATAAATGAGGACATTCCAAAACAAGAATAACAGTTTATTACACCAAATGAAAATGCTCCAAAAAATATTGGACAATAATATCAGGTCAAATCACCGGAGATCGAGACTCACTCGTTCATAAATTGAGCTCGAAAAAAATTGACGATCCATATATACAACGCAGAACCTTTCCGAACGCATCTCAACTGCTATTCTCATTGTGAGAACACCATGAGAACATCAAAGCAAACCCAAAGCTCCGCTTCTGTGCTTCTGTGTTCAGGCGGAACTTGTTAGTTTTTATGTACTCAGAGTTAGAACGGGCAGTTGAGTTGTGCTTTAAAGAGACATATTAGAGTCATCACACAGCCCCAAAATACGAAAATACACATGCGCGGGTTCAAGGCCTTCAAAGCTAAAGAACCATGATGAAGAAACCGTAGGATAAACATAGTTTTACATGCGTACGAATAATATACATGCTTATCTAACTTTATTGCAACCTCAACAAAAAACATTTGGAAGCAAATGCAAGCTTGCTTTCCGAATTTAATTCGAAAAAAAATAATGCAGCAAAAATAAACTGTCAGAGGTCACTGCCAGTTTAAGAAAACTACTCAGCGATGGCTGCATCTATGGTCTGTTTTCGACGCCCTTGCTGCGAAGAAGAACTGTCCACCAGCGCAGTCTCTGGCAAATATTTTTCACTCTCCACTTCACTAGACTTCAAGGTGATCCAAACATTGAGAAGATAATTTTTCGGTCGCAGCATTTCCTCATGTTGTGAAACCCTGAAGGTAAGGTGAAATAGTGACCCATTTCATACAACACTTCAAATCTCGACACTCCTGCAAAGCAGATTGGAGCAAAAAATTCATTCCCGCATGGACTGACAACATCCAGAACCTAAGCTGTTTATAGTAAAAAAAAAAGTCAGTCTGTGTTCCAAAGAACCCAAAATTACGATACGACAGTCAAGAAGCAGGAAAAAGAGATGGTGGCCGCATGCCGTGCATGCGTAGCGACACCGTTTCAAATTATCTACTCTAATCTGGACAATACAACAGTATGCATGGATAGACTTTTACGCAAGGATGAGACCTATAGAAAACGTAAGGTAGGGTTTAGGAAGAAAAACTAGATCAAGGATGTCTAGGAGTAGGAAATGGTTAGCTTTTATACCAAACGTGAGTGCCATTGAGATAAAGGTTTAGCTGGAAAACCTCAGACGGTATTAAATTAATTAATTATTACATTAATTACATCTCGGCCGATACCCCAAGCATAGATCCAGATCGGCATTTTCAGAGGGCTAGAATCTACACTTCTGATAAGAATTTTTGATTACTTGTTAAATAAAGTGTTTTGAGGCAAAAAGTCCAGACTGCATGAGCAAAGAAAGAAGGATCAAGAGGAAAATTTTATGTAAGAACTGCATGGAAAAAACTAGAGAAAAAACAAACAGCTTCATCAGAGACCCCGAAAATCAGTTATACGTAAATTTGTGCAAGAAAAACCTAGTACTTACGAAATACTCAGATCCAACTGGACTGTATCACACATCTGAGCTGGATCCGGTGGCAATTCCCGATCCAAAAAATAATTGTGATCCGCCAAATGGCCCCTGAAACGAGTATAGTGGTGGTCATCGCGAAAAAAAAAACGCTGTCAACAATTGCAGGAAGTTGCGTTGATCTTGGAAACAAGACCGTCCAACATTCCCACTAGTGTTCCTAGACCACCTGCCGTGCAGGTGTGGACCACTTGGACAAAACGCATCTTTTCACTTTTCGCAGTGCAGAACTTTTCGCTGTGAGAACCCTAGGTCGGCTCATGACCAGAGTAACATCTGGGGTTCTCACAGCGAATAAGTTCCGCGCTGCGAAGAGCGAAGAAGCCGCTTTCTGACTTAGCGACCCGCACCCTTGCCAGACCATGGCGGATAGTGTGAATGCACCACGTGGGCCTCAACAACGCAATTAAAGCAGCTTACAAAAAACTTTAAAAGGCTTGTAGTGTAGTCGCCTTTCCTTATACCTACTGAAGTGAATGAAACTTGTAACTAACTTATCACATTGGCAAGTTAGGCTGGCACACCATTTAATATCGTCAACACTGCAAATGCCTTCTCCCACCCATAATGCTGGTCCGATTTCATTGAACGTTGACAAGTTGCTGTAAGTAGATTACTGTACTGGGATTAATGTTAGCTTAATGCAAAAAAAGGAAGCGACAGAAAATAAAGTAAAACTTGATTACTTGTAGATGGTATGAATCAAAGTTTTCGGAAGTTTTCCAATCTTAATCCTTTCTCTGGTACCGTGAGGAATAAGAATTAATTCCTAAAACAAAAATCATTAAAATGTTATAGTAGATGGAAATGACAGCACACAAATCACCCTGAGAAAAGCGAAAAACTCGTTGTAATCCAAATCGCAGTCTGGTATTTCTATGGAGAAATTTCTGGTAAGATAGTTGTCGATGGGAGGCAGTCTGAAAAAATCTGCGCATAGTTAAATAGCGAATTATTTAGATGAGGTTTTCTGTGACCATTGGCTTCAACAACCGAGCCCTCAACCGTCTTATCATTCTCAAAGTGCTACCTCCGCTAAAATTTTTAGTTAATTTTTCCAGACCATTTAGGTAGATTTATCAAATTTTGCCGGTAGAAATGCAGGAGGCAGCTAAAGGCAATCACCATTTATCATTCATAGATGAGAATTAGGGCAGAGAAGGTCGTTAGATAATAGAACTGCGAGAAATATATCACTAACTCTGGTCTGTCTTTGGTGTTATCCGGATAGCGCTTGAACCAATTGTTTACAATTTTTCGAATCGTGATCCCAGAAACCCGTGTGCACGTCTCCATATCAGCCCGGTTTGCGCGCAACCATTGGGGGATGAAAGGCGAATATAAAAGTTTGGAAAGATGGCAGCATTGTGAGAGTTCAAAAAGTCGATAAGAATGACTGAAGTAATGTCGAGATGATATCTAACATTAATCTGCAGATGAAATCCGCTTTTTATACTGTTTTAAAAATCAAGTTGTTAGGTCACTTCATAGTTTCGCGACACCGGACATTTGATAGTAGGCGATGTGACATATTTCGGAATAGGTAGGATAGAGCAGTGATGTGCGCTTAAAAGCGTCGCATTACGTATGTCTGGTTCGCTTGAGGTGGAATATGACCATGGCGTCTTTCATACGTACGCGATTCAATATGTTATCTAATCTGTCAGCTATTATTACTATGTCAGTAATCATATTGTAATTCATTTATATCTTTAATAGGCATCAAATCCAGCGGGTCTGTTAGGTTTTTTTATATATCTCTCTTCGGTAGAAGTTTATCATTAGAACCCTAGGCATGGACAAACCAATGTGAGTTCACGGTGCGATCGGATTCGACGCTAATAGAACGTCGGAGGGCGGGGTGGTGCCTATAGTAGCTGCTCTCGAGCTTGAAGGCTGACGATGCTCTCTTGATCTCAGGCGGTTGTTGGATGCTCTCTCATTCTGTATGCGGCTCTTGGGCTCGCCCATACTTCCTCGTTGCGCCGTTATGTTCGTCGTCTCATTAGCACAGGTCCGAATTAGGAAGGTGAGGTGAGCTTTCACACGCTCGAGTGGTTACGACGGTATTCTTTTCGCTTTTTTCATTTGCATGCGCCCGGCCATTTTGCACGGAATACATTCCATTCCGGTGTGCGAAGAGAGACACGCAGTGAGATCCTGGCGGTATGGCTCTAATCGTCAGGCTACTATAGTATCTATCTACTACTCATACTATTATCCAACTAATGCATTTCGTTCTATCCGCACTCCTCCCGGCCTATGCGATGTTTTAATCGAATGTAGTTCTATTCTTATGTCGGCGAGCGGGTGGCGGGTACTGGGCTGAGGGGCAGAGGGCATCTCCCTGTCAATACATACGTTCTCACTGTCGCGTACTATCCTAACCAACGGAGTCGCGAACTATGAACGGGGCCTTACTGCGGTCTTTTAGCTTACCTCATCAGATATCATGCTTCTATCGAAATGACCGGCTAAGTGAAGATTGAACGGTGAGTAGTATTTGAAGAACTCACCCAACGCACGCTCATCCAACTGTAAAGGAAACGTTCACAAAACAATGACCGAAAAATCACGTTTCCATACCGAGCATTTGTCCATTTCCAAAGCCAATGTACTGCCTCGTAAAATTCCAACACATTTTCTGATAAGTGCTTCTATATGGTCGTCGAAATCCTTGCATTTTATCAACATTTCCCGCGGGGTTATCACAAAAAATAGATTGGCAAACTTTGCAGAGAATTCTTCCTCCTAGAAACAAGATGTATTAATGTGACCAGAGCAACATTAAAAGGCTCAGTTTCTTCACCGTGAATTCCCATCTATCCAGTCCATTTGTGTCCGCAAGTCGTTTTCGTTTACGTTGTTGAATGAAGTTACGTTGCCGTACAAGCGTTATCCTCCGCCCGAATGTGAGTTGAGCAACATCCCATTTTAATTCAGGCTTCGGCAGCTTCGTCTTATTGGTAAGTGTGAATCTTCTGAAGAATTCGTGAATAGAAGTGTATCGTTCCAAATGGAATTACTCCACGTACAGAATGTAGAAAGAATATAAAAATATGCTAACCTGAAGCGCTTGCAGGTATTTCCAAACGATCTCGCACTAGGACCATCCAGATGGTTCAGTAAAAACATAAGGAGCTCATTAGGCAGAGAAAATATTTCAGCCATTTCCAGCTTTCCAAATGGAGGCGCGATTTTCTCTATAACGCCTGCTGTATGTGTTTGCGTACCATGACCAAGTACCGTATCCTACGCCTAATTTTATTCGCTGGCAGCAGCTGAAAGATCAAAAAAATTTAGATTCAGTATGTATAACGTCTTGTGCTTCCCGAGCATGCTCGTGTCTACAAGCAGTCATTCGTGCCGAAAGAAACCACCCGGGAAGGGCCCCACTGGCGCACCTACACGTGTGCATTAGCATGTGGTAGATTTGTTGCTCGAACATACTGCCACTAATACACACCGAAGCAAAGAATGATTCAGCGTTTTGTCCTGGGTTATGCAATTTTGAGATTCCAGAGCGGCAAGAGAACGCGTGAAATCGTCGAAGCCCTTTCCGCATTTCGCTAACGCTTCACAATACATTTGAAGGGTTGACTTGCGCATTGGGCGTGTCTCACTTCATCAACACTAGGTTGTCTCTGTAAGGCGGCTAGAGTCAGACAGCGAGGGGGTGGACGGGCAGCGGCAACAGCGGTGCGGGACCGGCATGCTATATCGCCGCGCTGTGTTCTTCGCTGCGAATTGTGTGTTAGTTCGCACCCCTGAGAGGTCTGTCTACATTCCAACTTCTACTTGGTAGATTTCCCTTCTTCGAGCTCCCACCTAAGGTGGAACCCTCTTTCAAAAATCCGAGGAATTGGAGGCCAAAGAGGTTTCGAAAGGAAGAGGATGCCCCACAACGGCCACATGGCGGAGAAGTGAGAAAGTTGAAGCAGAGTAGAAGGGCGGCGGAATTCAGAGACCAATGTTTTGATGGCGAAGGAGATCGGAATAACGTCGAGTCAATGAGGAGGACTGGCAGAGAAAAACCGAAGAAGTATGCCCATGCCTACAAAAATTCCACTTTTTAATGGAACTGGAGTTCCATACCCTAGTGCATACCAGCGTCTGTGCCGCTGTATAACGACTTAACGTCGTTATTCTTTGAACATAGGCGGAAGTGGTGTAGTGGCAAGTGGCACGCTTACCACGCGAGCGGTCCGGGGATCAAATCCTGGGTCGTGAGTCGCCCGGGCCAACCAAGCCTTCCATCCGGGTCGGTTAATTGGTACCAGACTTGTCTGGGAGGATAAAAACACTGACTTGTACATCGGCTGGCCCCCGCAAGTCATTGTATAGGCCACATCGCATTCAAACGCCACTACGAATGTACAAATGGAAGTAGAATGCGTGCCGCATCCCAAAAAGGGATTGATCAACGGCAAATGCTTTATCCTTTTATTATTATTCTTCGAACTCTTTAGTCTCAGCTTGCAAGTCGATTGAGTTCATCCAATCGATATACGAGACTCTTTGTGCGCAGACCTCTTTATCTGTAGGCCCATCAAGAGGCTGCGCTTTTTTATAAACATACCCTCACTACTCATTTCACTTGCCGTACACGCTGTTTAACTTTCCATATACTTCACTTGCATTTTTATACATGTATATCATTCACAACTTCTTTCTGTTACTTTTGCGCGCAGCCCACTTTATCTGTATTCCATGAAAGACTGCACTTCCTCCTACATGGGTGCTTCTCATGGCTCATCAATAGGTCACTTACACTTCTTTAATAGATAATGCCATCAACAAACTTTTTGGTTGCCTCAAACAAACCTCATACAAAATATCCTTTCTCTGGCAAAGCGGCTGGTGCAGCTGCGATACTTTTTCACCACCTAAAAAAATTCGAGGGTAGCTTTGCCGGTCAGTTGACGCTCAACATAAACACCGCGCTCGCGAACAGTTGATGCTTCTGGCTTCTGGCTCCTTCTTGCTCTTTATCTCAGCTTGCAGGCTTTGCATCCTCATTGGTTCTACTTTTGGATATTTGTGTATTTAATTTCTACCCAAATGGATCTTCCAGATGTTCGTGCGTAAGACTACATTGACAAATTTGTGGTGGTCTGTAATAAGAACCTGGATCACATGACACTCTACTCAGAGGAAAGGCGAGGTGAGATCTACACACCTACACAGTCGTTACACTCTGTTCATGTGCGTATTTCTCACCTCCTTCTACCATGGGGCCTCTTTCTTGCCATATGCTACTATCCTGCCGCACCGTACATGCGGGACCCTCTCTAACCCTTTGGACCCTGGCGGTGGCAATTGCCACCATCAAATTCAAATGTCTTCATTACCGCTGCAACAGCATACATTTTCTACTACCCACTGTAGAGTTACTTCAGACGACCTTCCCCTTCCTAATTATGCTTTAAACCGCCATTTTATTGTGTGTTGCTGTTAGCATTACAAGTATTTGTGTACAAGTGCAACAATGAATCGGCGCTGGTCTCAGCAAGCTGCTAGGTAAGTGTCAATCATTTCCAAAATACTTGGCATGTATTCATTTTTATCAAAAACGTTAGATATAATGTTGTGCAAGATCATAAACTTTTTCGACATAACTAAGAAATTTGGAATTGTTTCGACATAAGCTAAGAAGCTGTGCCAATTTTCAAAGCTTCCTAGTTTCTTAGTTTGTGATCGAATAGCTTCCAAATTTGCTCTAATGATATTTATGTCACAAGTAATAATCAGCAGCAAGGAAAAAACTTTTCGCGAAGAAATCCAGGGCTGAAGGGTTAAATTCGTTCAGCCTATTTGTCTGGCCAGGATCGCGTAGTACGTCACCCAACAGTAGACGCAGGGCAGGTACTGACCAAAGCTACCTTGCCGACGAAGACATAATCATTTTGGCCGACTTTTAGATTGGTTATGGCAGTACCATCTCCAGCCATTGAACAGTATGTCCGTCTCGGTGCTCGTAAGGCTGATTTTCATTTATCTTTTAGCGTCAGTAGACCTAACATAGTTCTTCCTTTCTCATGCCATGTATTCTTCATTGGAGTAAGCCATGCCGAGTACACGCCATTTCCTTCCAGCATTTGCACTCCGTTTACTTTAGCGTAGTTTAGAGAATGCAAACGTAGTCAGCTAGATTTATACGCACATTTATTTGGTATTCAAAAGTCATTATATACTTCACATTTGTTTCATTTCTATTCATAATCAGTACATAACGCAGTTAACCAATAGTAGATTTATTTCATTACTCATCTTTAAGCTTGTGTTTTTATCGTACTATTCCACATAGTACGTGTAGTACAACATCCGCATACGTCCGTTTTTTAAATCGTCGTGGTACCCATTAGCAGGAGCGTAGGCGTAACCTCATGCTCTTCTTTTCCAGGTTAATTCTGCGTAATGAGGCCCACCCGTCTCAGCAGTGGAAACAATTACGCACGATGTCAGAAGAAAATAATATCACCAAATTGCAGCAGCCGTGAAACACCGCGCAGACGGCAACACCCCCGCAGCCATCAGCAAAGGCTACTCATATGTGTAACGTAATGCAAATCATTGATAAGAGTTTCATATGTTTGAATCACAGGAGATGCAAGAACACCCGCGTAGTGAAACTACGGGCGTCGCAGCTCCATCAGCACGTGCGGCTGCACCAGAACCACAGAGAACTCGACACAGCAGTCGTTCGCTTACGCATGGCTCTCCAGATGCGCTACGCGCGAACACTCAGAAAAGGAGAACTGCAAACCAATAGCATCGCGTAGCTATTATCGGCGTATCGATGACCCTGGCCGACTGCTTTTCTGAGTATTTCAGAGAGTGGCCTGCATTGGATGAATCGAAAAACGTAATAACAGAAATCGAGCTTCATGGAAGTACTGTGGTCCTTGCTGAGAAGACCGCCGGGCGAGGGATCATTGAAGCGTCGAAGTATCAAAGTGAGTTCTCTCACACTTTCGTCACTAAAGGGGTTACCGCGCTGGGTGTGCGGACGTAGTACTCAGACCCTGTCCAGAATCCTGCAGTCACACCACCCCTCTCCCAGCGCATCGGATTCTCTGTATTGAGCTATGGCGTCCTGTTGATAGCAAGCACCTTATCCGTCGCGTATCGGCGCTATGTCAAGCAGGATGTTATATGATTCCTACTCCAGGATTCTTTTTTTTGACAATTCACAATCTAAATGAAAACTCTTTATTATAAAACGGCGAGAATCAATTTCAATTTATGCTTCAAAGTTGCTAATGTTGGGTCAGATCACTCAACAGCTATGAAGCATCAACGGCATTCGCATCACCAGCACCAGCCTTGGGAGTGGCTCCTTTTGTGCTCTTTTGGCTTCCAAAAACGTTCCAGTTCATGCCTAAACATAGAAAATTATAAGTATATCCGTTTAACTTCAAGCTAGTCGTATTCAAAATGCAAAATGCGCCATTATGACCTCTGTAGGTTTAGCAGAATCCATATGACAATGAGCGCAACCATATTATAATCGCGCATGCGGCACCCACTAGGAAGCGCTGTCTTAAGCTTGACCCCCCATCCTGCTTGAGATGTACACCTTGGTCCCTGGAGCACCAGTAGGGTAGAGGAATCTTTGGAAACAACGAGCACCATGCGAAAATATGCATCGGATCAAGCAGCTCTTTGGCTACGGTAAGCACGCGTCGCAGGAATTCACATAAATGGGCAATATTTGGTAAGAAAGCTTTAAAATCACCGCTGCCTACATCCATACCTGGGTGTTTGTGCAGTCTGTTTGTTATCAACTTGTTCAGTACGGGGTTTCTGAGAGAAATTGACTGAGCTCAAAACGAACCGCCTACTGAGACGAGACTCGAATTGGGGCGATAGTTCTGTGTCAACTGCTGTGCAAGTGGAACAATTCCGTCCACCAGAATCAGGATCACGCACACTGTCGAAACCATCACAAGACTAATAAGTCGAATGTCATCATGAGAGTCTCTGAATAAAGAATATAGCTGCCATCACTCACATATTCAAAAATCTCATTCGAGACATCGATGTTTCGCTCCCTTTGTTATAGTACATACATATTCGTAGAGTACCGTAGGGGTAGCTTATTGGGTAATCCCCTTTACTCCCCTTTACTTCAGAAAACCAGAAGCGTCAAGTGCAGACCACACACCACAAGTGACGACGGCCTTCATAAAATGTAAATATCAAATTGTAAAGTTGGGAAAAAAATTAAAATTGTGGAAACATAAAGTTGTCCTGTTGCAGTTGTATTCTATTAGTTGTTACTAATTACACCCTCATTTACCCAATGTCTGCCATCTGAATTACTAATTAGCAGATTTTGGAGGCCGTCGTCACTTGTGGTGTGTGGTCTGCACTCGACGCGCTTCCGGTTTTCTGAACAGAGGGTACAAACCCTTCTGACAGCACGTTTGGCCGAACTTTTCCTGT